GATTTATTCCTTTCGGTTCGGTTTTTAGCATGATGAGTCGGCTTCCCGAGTAGAACTCCATTATGCCTTTCTTGTAATTCGTAGTGACTTCTCCAAGTCCTTCAAGCCATTAAATTCCAAGAACTATCTCGGGCCCCACAATAGGTAGTGTATAGAGGTCGGCTTTGGTGATCTCACCTTGTAGGTTGATGGGCACTTCCCGATAATATTCATGACATCTCAGCCGCTCTCCATTGGCAACCCTTACATCGAACGGTTCCACCCTTGTTTCCTTGACTTTTAAGTCCTTAGGTACTTTGTCGCAAATGAAGTTATGCAATGAGCCGGTGTCGATTAGTACCTCAATTGGCTGTTCCTTGATCATGGCGGGCAGTCGGATTGTTCTTGGTCCCTGTAGGCCTGCCATTGCATTAACCGAGATCTCTAAATCGTCGTTCACTTGTTGCGCTGGTTGGTCCTCATAGGCCTCTTCCTCGTCCTCTTCAATGACGTCGATCAGAAAAAATTATTTACATTGATGGCCTGGGGTGAACCTTTCTTCGCATTTGTAGTAGAGACCCTTCTCACGTCGGCATCTCATCTCCTCGAGCGTGAGTTGTTTAATGCCCGGAGGTGGCGTTCGAAAGTTGTTCGGCGGTCGCGGGTTAGGATGGACGTTGCTCACGTTTGATGGTGCGCTGTCTTTTATTGTGCGCTCGTCCAAGTGTTGGTCCGCGCGTCGTTGCTCCAAGTTGCGCACACTCTCTCGCCCGATCCTCCGTGTGGCCGTTAAGTGTTCATCCCTCCTTTGCGCAGACTCCATGGCCTCGTGCATGGTCCGTGGTTGGTCGAGCCTTACTTCTGCGGCTAGCTCGAATTTGAGCCCACCTATGAAAGTCCCGATGAGTGCAGATATCGGCCAATTGCGCACCCGACAGGCGAGTCGCTCGAACTCTTTCATGTAGTCTCGAAGACTTCCTGTCTGCTTGATGTGTGAAAGTGCCTCATCGTAGCTATGATAGTCGGCCGACCCGAATCGAGCAAGTAGCTCGCGCTCAAATTGCTCGAACTCTCTCCTAGCTTGGTCGTGTGGATGGGGCGGTGGTCGAGCACCATGCGGGGGTGGTCGATCGCCATGTGGAGGTGGTCGAGCGTCGAATGGTGGTGGTCGATCATCGTGGCGCGGTGGTTGAAGACCTTGGAAATTCCTCAAGAGTTCTTCGAACCTTTGGTTGATGGACTCCATCGACGCCGTGCGGTGATCAATTATGGCGGCCCTGGTGTCGACGAGCTCTCTGGTTAGGGCTTCGAACCTTGCATCGACAGATTCGCTCATGGTTTTGAATTGGCCTTCAAAGCTCTCGATTTTTTCCTTCATCTCTCGATTGGCCATGGCTTTCTTCTCTTCTCTTCGCTCTTTGCTTCGAGGACTCGTGTTTGAATTATATTTTTTTTTATATTTTTTATTAAAACCTTCGACTAATCCCAAGAAGGAGAATTAATCGAACGAATATATATATATATATATATATTTTGAATCAAACAAAAAAGAAAAACGAGAGAAAGAAAAGAATGGGAAAGAAAAAGAATGGGGAAGAAAAAAGACACACGATCTAATCAACTCTCAATGAAAGCACCAATGATGAAGATCGCGTG